TCTCCCCAGACCAGCTCCTTTTCTCACCAAGGTGTACACTAATTTGGTTTTTGAAAATGTCTTTCTAATTATCATTTTTATAACTTTACTTTTACTCATGTAAACAACAGGCAATATTTTGTTATTTTACATTTTATAATATACTTGAATATATTCCATAACTGTTTTGTTCAGACCACATCATTTTTTGAGTTCAATTATAAATAAATATATATAATTTATTTTAGCTACTCTATAATACTCCAGCCTCCAAATCCTCAACTATATATAGAATATATATATATATATATATATATATATATATATACTCACACACACACACACACACACATATATTCAGGGGGTGGGTACCAGGGATAGAAACCACCTCATGCTTGCCAGACAGGCCCTGTACCACTGAGCTATATCCCTGGCCCCAATGGCTTTATATTTTTTCAATTTTTCAATATCAAAAACACTGCAAGTAGTCACCTTTTATTAACAGGGGATGCATTCCATGAGCTCCCTTAGATACTTACAATCTAAAATTTAACATATTTTCCCCCTTATGTAAACACCACACATAGTAACTGTAATTTTTTCCATTTGAAGTGCAACAGCAAAACTATCTTCAATTTATGTTTGCTTCACAAGTTCATGAATAGAAGTTTCATTCTTACCATAGATCTCAACAAACTGAATGTCCAATTTTTTTCTTTCCTTAAGTTGAAAATTTTCACCTATTTGCTTAAAGGAAGCATTTAATGACTTCTTGTTGGGATAATCAAGTTGCCAAAATGACTAGTCTTTCATTTTAGAAATATTAAATGAGAGTTTCTTGAACACAAACACTGTGATATCACAATAGTAGAATAGAGAAATGAGACAAGGTGATACTAGCAGGCAAGTAGTACATACAGGATGGATACACTGATTCATGTGGTTGGCAAGATTGAGTTAGACAATGCAAGTTTTCCTTATGCTCTTCAGAATAATGTGTAACTTAAACTGAAGAACTGTTTATTTCTACAATTTTTCATTTAATTACTTCAGGGCATGGTTGACTATAAGTGACACTACACTGGGAAGCAAAACTGGGAACAGGGAAGACTACTGTGTGCCACGTGTTGTGAGTTCCTCTGACTTGCTGGGGTATCTCTCTGGAGAGTGACATGGCTACAGGGGAGGTGGCTGTGGATTTTAGAATGTGTCACAGGATGTTTCTCTATTCTGGATGACAGCCGAAAGTGTCGGACTCTGTCTGACTAGCTGCCCTTTCTGCAAGAAACTTGTTTACGTTATCAGGCACCATTGTGGCTCTTGTCTGCCCCGTGTCCAGTTTATGGCTACAAAATGGTCATTCTGTAGAAAAGCTCTAAACTGGAAAAAAAAAAAAACTGGGTTGTCATCAAGTATGTTGATCATATGAGACACAGAAGCAGCACAACAAAACACCTGAAAGCACGGAGGCAATGTTATTACTTATGAATCCCAGGGAAAAGGTGTCAGCATAGCTCATAGGATCAGGGGGCCAGCAGATGGGGCTGGCTCCCCTGTTACTCCTGCTCATCCAGCCTGTGGTGAATCAAGAAGGTAGGAAACCAGGGAAGATTATAAGCCACACCATTTATGGGGTCCAAAGTGTTGGCCAGGCAAGTTTTCACAAGGAGTCTAATGTTTGGTTTCTAACAAACAAGTAAGAACCCAAAACCATCATGCTGGGACTGTGAGGGGACAGCATGGTATATCTATCTGCACAGACCCTGTAAGGTCAGTAAGTCAAGTCAAGTGGGTTGCATTTAGCTGTCCAGTAAGGAAATGGGCACCAGGAGGTAGTTGTATGCGGCAAATAATTCAGTCAACCACCTTGAGAAACTGACAGGAGATGAATAATGAAATCATTAAGGATCACCAAGCCTAACTTCTGGTATGAAAAAAGGTAAACTTATATTCAAAATGGATACCAAGGCCACATAACGTTATACAAATTTACTACACACACATATTTGTGTGTATGTGTGCATAAAGTCAGAATTACTGTCATAAGACATTAAAACTCATTAATAATTCCTGTGAATAGTAATTAATACAGTCATGAATTTTCATCAAACTGTGTTCCAATAGGAAGTGACCAAGGAATGAAACTATTGTCTTGACCTGCAAAGTATAACTAAGACTGTAAAAACTAACATCCTAAATCCAACTGTACACATGAAAGTAAATACTAAAATATTTTTTGATATTGTCTAGCTCTGATAATTTACAGTGTAACTCTTTTCCATGGACATAAACAATTGAAAGCCAGGTTCACTGAATATTTCCAGACAAGTACAGTTGCCTTCTGTATCTGCAGATTTTGCATCTAAAAATGCAAAGAACCTCAGATCTAAAATATTAGAAAAAATTGTGCCTGTACTGCACATGTACAAAATTTTCTCTAGTAATTATTGCTTAAACAATACAAAAATACTTACATTGCAGTAGGTACTGTAAGGAGTTTAGACATGATTGAAAGTATAGAGGAAGATGTACCTAGATTACATACAAATATGGTTCCTTTTATATAAGGGACCTGAACATCCACAAATTTTGATGTCTTTGGGGATCCTTGAACCAATTTCCCACTGATACAGAGGAAGGTATGACTCTATATCATTCTCAAGAACTTCCAAGCATATTCCTAGTGGAGTTCCTTTTTTGAACATCAAAGACAGTAACTTTCCTTAATGGAGAAGATTTTAAAGATCAATGCAATGTTTGAGGATTTTTTTTCCTAAGTGGGTTTTGAATGTCCACAATGCCAACTTCTAAAATGAAACAATGCTGAAATAATAACAGCACATAGAAGAAATTGGGCACCTGAGGCTTTTACTTAGAGAACTTACATTAAAACCAGTAAAACTATATTTTTTAGAAAAAAAATTTTATGATTTGCTTTAACAAAAAATGATGACCTATGAGACACAGGAGTACTTATATAGAGAGTATATATGTTGTGTAAAGCAGTTCTGTTGTAAAGTGTAAATTTCCCTTTACATCCAAGGGCCTTTGCGCATCTTTGCAAATACAAATAACACTCATGCTCTAATGACTGAGACTTTCACAGCCTTACAAGCAGTTTTTGTTTATGTGCTGCTGATGTGAGCAACATGAACACTTTTGGGCAGGGTCCTCTTTTTCTCACTCCCAAATGAAAGTAACTCCCTCCTCTTAAAAGCTTTCTGGATATTTACCCAGTAAGTCTTAAGACTGTCTCCTATCATCTTATAGTTTTTCTATTTACTGCAGCATCATCCTAACTAGACCAAAATGCTTTCATCTTTAATTCCTCCAAGGGCACCCCTCGCAGCTTTGCACCTCAGAGCTTCTCCTCAGCGCTGGTTGGGGTGCTTTAAGAAGATCCTTCTTCTGGCCATGGCCTCTTTTTTTCTGTCCTGGAAAATCAAAAGCACCCCTTTCTCAAATGAATTTTTAAAATTCAAACACTAAGTTCATCTGAATGCTTCTCACCAATAGCTACTTGAAGATACTTCAATCATAAATTATTAACTTTTCTTATCAGCCAAGCCACCCTGAGGTCTAAATTTCATATGGATCTAGGTCAAGTGTCTGCTACTGAAACCATTATAGGAAACCAGTCATGGCTAAAGGAGTGATTGCCCCATTCACAAATTGGGGGCAGGCCTTTTGCTTTTCCTCCTCCTTCCTCAGGTACTGACTGTCATTAATTCTCTACAAAATCATAATTCCCTTAAGGGTGAGCAGGACTGACCACAAAATGAAAGACACTACTGGTTACCAGCCTGGAGAGAAAAAAAATTAATATATTCAGTGGAAGCAGAACATTCAAAACCACTTTGTAAGAGAGATTTTTTTAAAGCATCTCTAGCTTTTTCTCTAGTTCTTCATGTAGCTGTAACTATTGAGACAATATATATTAGATGTAATATACAAGTTTGTCTCTTACACAATTAAAGTGGGTATGAGAGTCTGTCATTAACTCAACAGATACTGCTTTTGTATCAATAACGTACATTTTTCCTACCTTTAGAAAGTGACAATTGAGTTACTAAACAAAGACAAGCAGGATTACAGAGTTAAAAGATATCTAACAATGGTATGAAAGCTATTATAAGAAAGAAGAATGTTTAGCAAAGACTGTAATCTGATATTCCTAATATACTAATAATCATAATCAGTAACAGCTATCACTCATTAAGCACATTAAGTTTTACTTATGAGATAGGCACCATTCTGTCTGTTTTGGTCTTGGCTTTGGATATTTTTTGAGATAAGATCTTGCTTTGTAGTGCAGGTTGGCCTTGAACTCATTATGTAGCCCAGGCTGGCCTTAAACTCTTGGCCATCCTCCTACCTCAAGCTCCCAAGTGTTGGGATTACAGGCATCATCATCCTTCTTTGCTTTTGATTAGTACATATAAGCTGTACATGGTGTTTAATTTATCTTAGGGAATAGTTACACGTACTTAATTTATCTTGGTTCTTTTTATTCTCTTTGCCTTCCCCACCTTTCTCCCTCCCTCCCTCCATCTCCCTCTCGATCTCCTACCCCCACTTTCATTATTATCTTATCGGTTTATGATTGTGACACATGATGATTATGTGCATTGTAGGTAGCTGGAACATGTACATGACACATCTCAAATCATGTTCAGCCCCTTTTTATTCCTTCTTCCCCTCTCTGTCTCTTAGTTCTCACCCTATTATTATAATCATTTTATAGACTAGGAAACTGAGGACTTAAGAATTGTATAGCAAGAGATCATTGAGACAAGATTCACATGCAAAACACTTAATAGAGTTGCAAGCTCTTCCCACTGTACGATGGGTATCTTTTTCATTCTAGAATTTGAATAAAGGCAAGTCTGCATCCAAGGCAATTAAAATTGCAACATTGATGCAAGCAACATCTATTTTGCCTGTTTCCATTGCATTTTAAATTCACTTGGAACACTGGCCTTTTAGTTGTGTCAATAAGAATTGTGCTTCTCTTTATATAGGGTTGTGATACCCAGATGATCTATGACATGTTGCTAACATTGAAATCTGCTATCTATTTACCTGGTGACTTTGTCTGCAAAAAGGTGAGTAGATACTATTTTCTTTTTTCATAAGATATGCAGTTATATTTTTAATAAAACAAAAAAATTCAAATATTACACCAAAATAGTAAAACCCAAAAATTCAGATTCCTATAGAAGTCAATCTGAAACCAAAGATATTACTACTAATATTATCTATGCTATACATGTGTATGACTATAAAACCTTAATATTACTGACTGTGTTTTGTTATGATATTGAGGTGGTATTTTTTTGAGGCACATCTTCATTTTAATAATGAAGCTCTTCATCTTTTCCCTCATTAGCGATAAACTAGACCCTCTCTTCCCACCACAATGTTTTGTTGATGAGTGACAAACAGAAAGGAAGTCACAATTTCATACTAAGAACAAAATGATCGGAGTCTTGATTTCTTCACTAGAAGCTACACTTTAAAGAGGAAAAGAAGCCGGGCATGGTGGCACACACCTGTAATCCCAGCACTCAGGAGGCTGAGGCAGGAGGATTGTTGCGAGTTCCAGACCTTCCTGGGCTACAAAGTGAGCTCAAGGCCTGTAAAGCAGGACCCTGTCTCAAGTAGACAAAAAAACAAAAACAAAATAAAAAGGAAAAGAGAGGAAATGGGGGGGGGGGATACAGCAACCAAAAATAACAGATATGCCAATGTGCATGGGCCAATTCCACAAAACAAACATCACCACTATGTAATGTAAACATACACCAATAACAGAAATCTTTAAAACAAAACTAGACACACAGTTCAAGTTCCATGTGCAACAATTTAAATTGTAGACCAAGACCTGGCATCTGACCCAGAGTCTCAGCCCTAGCTGGGATGGTTTTTACTTGGGCTCAAGTAATACTGACAGCCACAGGTATTCTGTGGGCCTCAGCAGGAAGGTTTGGTGAACAACACAGGGACACTCCTAGCAGCTAAATGAGGACCTGCCCACTATCCCTTGACCCCATGCTGTGTCAGACAAGCAGACTGCTTGCTTTACCTACAGCTGTCTGGGAAGTTTCTATTCTTAGGAACCTGAAGCCCAACCTGTCCCTGACTGTGTCTCTGTGGATTATAACAGTGGGGAGAGGCTGGAGCTCTAGAAGGCTCAGAGTGGAAGATAGATTCTGGGGTTCAGGTCTCTCCTATGTTCCCGAACTTGAGATGACTGTGCCCCCTCAACTGGTGGACAGGCCAGAGCTGCCTCACTAGTCTCTGTCCAGGGTGTGGGGCAGTTCTAAAGACTGTTCACTCTTCTGGGGCTCCTGTCAAAGGCCAAGTCCCCTGAAGCTGTGTTCCTAGAAAAAGGAGAGTTCATGGTCCCTAAGTGCTGGGAAGGGGGACAAGGATGGGAGGATGATAGCAGGGTTGGCTAGGATGGCTCCCACTCAACAACAGTACCAGGCTTGTGTCAGGAGACTGTTGAGGGACATAATTCTCACTCGGCCAGGTGCCCAGGTTTTGGAGCTGTCTCCAAGAAGTAGAGCACGGGCACAGGAGATGCAGATGGCCTCAAACTCAGGGTCCATATGAAAGCTGTGTGGAGTGTGGTAGCTGATGGTGATGTTGCTGAAGCCACCCACAGAGGCCACAGTGGATCTCTGTATCATGGCCGTCATTTCCCCCTCTTCCATTAGCACAGAGATCCTGCAGAGGGCATCTTCTCTACTGGCACCATACTCAGTCCTCACAGTGTCAGCGGGGTCAGTCTACAGTTGGCTGGCTTCAAGGTAGAAAAGCATGGTAGAAGAAATCTGCTAAACCCATGGCATTAAGGAATTAGAGAGAGAAGGGAGGAGCCAGAGACAGCAATACACCTTTCCTTACATACTAATTTTCAAACGTGCACCTAAAAAGTATTTCAATCCAGTTATAGGTCAAGAACATAGTTGAGGCAAATTTGTCCATGTTGAATTCCATAGTATAGAAATAATTTTGTGTATAATTTCATAAAATAATAATGTACTTCTGAAGTTCAAAATAGAACAAGACAAGGGCTGGGGATTTAGCTCAGCAGCATAAGCACTTGCCTTGCAAGCTTGCAGTCTTGAGTTCGATCCCTGGTACCAATTAAAAAAAAAAAATAGAACAAGACAATACAGATTTCATTACATATATGACAAAAGTGCGGGTAGCCTGAAAATTCACTTTGTATAAATGTAAATTACCAACCACCATTTCCTATTAATTCTAAATATTTAAAGGAGAGGAATAAGTTATAGGAATGATACATTGTTCTACCCATTTCGTAATTTTGCATACTTACGATTATCTCCAGTTGCTCACCCAGTTACTGGATAACGTCAATTATTTTCACAATTTACTGCACTTTTATTATTGTAAAAATAATACATACTTACTATTTTTAAGCTAAAATAAACCAAAAAAAAATAAATATACAAAACATAAAGACCAAAATTTTACCACCTAAAAATACACACCATTCATATATTTTGACCAATCTTTTATTATAAATTGAAGAATAGATGAGTTTCTAATGAAATGAGCCTCATACTTTACATGTTTTGAAACTTGTTTTGTCACGTAGCAATATATCATATGAACATTTTAGATAGCATTAAGTCAGCTATAACATGATTCTTTGAAGCTACAAAATATTCTAGTCTACAGAGCTATAATCAATTTCCAAATTGTTATTATAAGCAATTCTAAAGTGAGTATTCTCCCTGGATAAATATTTTTGCACACGTCTGATCACTAACCTTAGAAGGGACATAAGAAATTATAACCCAGGTTTTATACCTCAAGAGAGTACCTACCTGGGTGAGGTGAATAATCAAATAAAAAATAAAAGACAGTTCAAAAAATGGGAGAGGATCCAAGACCTAGGGAGTTCACAAGCAAGGGAGGATGAGAAACACTGTATCTCATTCCAAAATAATGTGTTAAATGCTACAGTAGCAATAAGTACGATCTGTTGCAGGAAATAAAGTAAGGATATTGGTCGCTCCTAGCTCCTGGCAAGATTTCCTAAAAATCCTCACGCTAAGTACTGGAAAATGAATTGGACTGAACCAAAGGAAATAAGTACTCTGAGTAAACAATCAGCATGAGATAAAGCAGAGAGGAAGAATTGGTGTCTGCAAAGAAAATGCAGAGGACTACAATGAGATAATTGTTATAACAACTCTAGAATTCTTTACTAATAAAATATTCTTAGTGCGATAGGGCAGGCAATGTTCTGAGTCCTGAGAGAAAAAAGATGGTGTTGTTCTCCAGGACCTTGCAGTCCAGTGCAGTGGAATTCAGCTCACTTCGTACATCAGTGTCACCTGAGGGTAGCAGTCTGAGCTCCATATCTTGGTATTCAAGTAGTCTGGATGGAGTCTACATACTGGCATTATCAAGTTTCCTTATGATTCCAAAATACAGCCAAATTTGCAGAGAAAAGCAATAAATAAATGGAATTAAATAAACACATGATTCCAAAATGTGTGGCATTGCATGAGGAGAAAATAAAAATTGCCAGGAAAGCACGTAGTGACAAAGGCACTTAATGTAATTTAAGTTAGAGGTCGGGAGAGAGGGAACTTGTCAGTTTGTCAGGCGTGACCTTTGTAAAATCTAAAGGAAAACATTTCTTTGTAAAAAGAAAAAGAGTAGACAAGACAGTATTTTTGACAGAGTTGGAGCCCTGAGCTAATGGGCAAAGCAGAGCTTGGAAAATCCAAGGGATGAAAGTTAAGTGAGTGGCACAACTGGTGAGGAAAGAAAAAGTCAAATGGGCCGCAGTGTCCTTCAGGGGTGGAGACTCCAGGTCACAGGCGGAACATTGTATCAGAGATGATGAAACTGGAGGCAAGTCTTGAAAGCTGGAATATGATGAAAGTCGAGTTCAACACGAGGTCAAGAAAAGGTAAGAGAAAGCAGGTCAAGGCTGTAACTTTGAAGAATCCCAACATTTATGGAAGAGGTCAACAAAGGAGAATCAGACAGCAACTAAGAAGCTGCTATTAGAAATAATAAGTAGACAAATTGGTGAAATGAATCATTTTTTAAAATGGAAAATACAAACTCCAGTGCAGTTTAAGGACCCCTTTGGGCAGTGGTGCGTCGCAATGACATGGCCTAATACACCAAAATAGCCTTGCAAATTGTTCCACCAGCAGCAAGGACTGAAAATTGAAATTATGCCTAGAAATTTTAGCACTTGAGTCCCTCAGCAGCGCAAATTTGTTTAACAAAGTGTGAAATGCTGAGTAGCCGTGCAACCTTCTCATCTCTACCTTTTTATATACCACATTCATCAAATAACAATAAAAACAGATCAGTGAACACAAATGAAGGAAGGAAAAAAGGATGGAGGGAAGAGCAGAAATGAAAAGGCAAGGCACATGTCTTCCTTTTTGTTTTTATTTCAGGAGATTTATGTGATAGGAGATAAGGACAGAGAAGAAAGGCTGCTACTGCACTAAACTTTACATGGCTGAATTCGGCTTGGTTTAGCTTACCATTTCCATAAAACACTATAAAAAAAGGAAGCAGGAAAAAAATATTCAGTTTCAGATAACCTAACTAATTGAAGAATGTTAGAGTCTGGGCCTGAGTTTGCTAAATGGCCTAGTCCTGAAAATATTTCCTAAACCTACTAAATGGATAGTTTGGACTGCTTCAAAATTATCTGGGAATTTTCCCAGAATGGTGTTTCACAGTGTAAAATCACCCAGAAAGCTTGTTAAAGCATAGATTTTTGGAACTTCATCCTCAGTATTCCAGTTCAATATTTCTGCAGTGGAGCCTGAAAATTTGCACCTCTAGAAAAATTCTTGAGAGACACTGATGCCCCAGGAACCTTGCTGTGAGCAGTATGGCTCTTCCCTAATGGAGTTCATTTTGGTGTCATAATGCTCCCACCAGCCTTTGAAGCCTCCTGAACAGGTGCCCTAAATTCCTTGTCTCCAAGGATTTACCTCAATCTGCAAGAACCTATAGCATTTCTACATTTTCTCCAAATTAGTACATACACCAAAAAAAAATCTTGTTTTGATCCTATTTTGCAGATGCTGTCAGCCCTTATTCTCTGATGAATGTCTTCTCCATTGAAATGCTAATTAAACTTGCAGAAAAGGCTTAAATTAGCTAGAGATATGCAAGAAATAGTGGAAGTTTTGGTTCCTTGATTATGCCAGATCTCCTTCGAAAATTATTGAAATGATCATTAAGAAATAATTAAAAGTGCTGAACTATATTTAAGTACCCATTATGTACTTCTGCCTCCAGTCAGTTGTAATAACTACCTCTGAAAAATCATTCCAGTTCCTTGAGAATTACTTCATGCAAAAAATCAGGAATATGACCTTGGCTTAATCATTACTTCCTGGACTATCTCTTGGAAAACTAATTTTCAGACAGTTTGCTCTTCAAAATCATTTATAGCTATTTTACTGTTTTTTAAAGATCAGTCTTAATGTCAGATTCATCATTAGGTACAGTCTATCTGTGTCTTAGTGTCAGATAACATAAGTGTTGCCTGTCCAAGGACTGTCACCTGCCAGTTTTTGTAATTTTGCTCAAAGCACTTAATTCCTAAACTCTTATTACCAATTTTTAAATAACAATAATTATATCTACCTTATTTGACGTTGCTGGGATCTTTAAAGAAATTAAGTGAGTTTATAGCTATGAAGTACTTTCAGCAATAAAGCAACATGTTCTGATACAACAAATATAGAAATTAAACTAAGGAACTAAGCAATATCAAATATTATAGTTCTTCAAGTACTAAGATATTGTTACCATTAGCATTATATAAATAGCTATAATAAAATCAATCTAATTTCTACTTTGATCTATACTTAAGAATAAACATATGCTTTAATATTTTGCATAGTGTTAAAATTTTAAAATTTCTTCTGTTGTTATTAGGACATGTATGTTCCAGGCTTTTTTTGCTTGTAAACATCAACACATTGAATGTCAGCTAGTGAGCTAAGCCAATCTGTCCCTTTGTTTTTCTTTCTGTAAAACAGAAGTAATAGTACTTACTTACTCTACCTTCCCAAGGAGTACATCAAGGTGATAAAATAAGTATTCCAGTTTCCCAGGTTAACTCAGAGATGTAGACAGATATCTTTAAATTCAACTTGGTGATTATAACGTACTTGATAGACAGTGACAAGAACATAACCCTAGAAATCAAAAGTCTTCTAAACTTCCCATAGTTAAGTTGTATTTTCCTTTTTCATAAATGAATGCCTACTATTTATCAAGCCTTGTGCTCAAAACTGGAACAAAGTAGATACTGTTTCAACCATCTCAGAGCATCTGTTATAATCAACATTGCTTAACCTCAAGTTGATTTGATTTAATATTCCAAAAATATGACTGAGAATATTTGAGTAACTCAAATAACCTGGTCCACTCTTATATAAAGTAACAAATTCTTTATATTCATGCTATTTCAAAATACTTGTCTTTGTCCATTTTCTGTAGCTATAACTGAATACCACAGACTGGATAATTTATTAGCTCAAAGTTCTATTACTGTGGGAATTCAGGAACATGGTGCCAGCATCATAGTGAGGGCATTCTTGCTGGGTCATGGCAAAGGGCATTACATGACATCAGAGAGAGCAATTTTGCCAGGCCTTTGTAACAAAATCACTCTGGTGATAATCCATGAAACTATGACCTAATCAACTTCCAGGGCCCCACCTCCAAACACCATCAAAGTATTAATTTGGAAATTAAATCCAACACATAACACCTGGAGGATATATTAAGACCACAGCAATTGATCAGGGTGATCAAGACTCTATTTATTTTTATGTATGGGGACTGGTACTCAAATAATTTGCCTAATATTATGTAAAGTTGCCTATTTATAATTTAACAACCATTCTGCAACTGAATACCACTGAGGTCTCTTGCAAAAACTATTGATTCTTTTTAAAAGTTGGAGTGAGATGAATCTAAGAGCCCCATAAACACCTGTCAGTTTGGTATTTTGCTACAAGGACTCACATGACTTAGTGTAAAGTTATATAGCATAGGGTTTATTAAAGCAAAGGAGACAGGAACAAAATAGATGTGCATGAGCAGATTAGAGAAATCAAGCACAAGCATCCTAAATCCTACTACAATGAAGGTTGCCTAGATGCATTTTTCTCTCCAGTGAGTCACAGAAACATGAGCAAAAGACTTCTCCTTCCAGGAGCCTATCTGAGGCTTGGGTCCATGGTTCTTATGGGACAGTCTCATAGTTACATGACTAGTCATGGCATAGACTTCAAGCTAGGTACAAGATACATATTAGAAATCACTGTGCATGCATGAAACAATACTGACAGTCTGGTGTATCCTGCCATACCACCTCAGGCCTATACAATAACACTCTTCACTTCCAGTAGAATTCTCAGGAATCTATCGGGAATCCTTGTCCTAGCACCCTAGAATCCTCAAGGATAATCAAGGACTGAGAAAAACAATCTGCTACATTAACACTCCCTCTCAATGTAAAATAAGAAAAATAGCATAAAATTCTCATTCAGTCCCATTCCCAAAACCAAACTTCAGTGACTTAAAAAGAATAGAACTGACCTTCACATGACCAGAGCCCATGTTATTTGGACAGAAGAAGCACATTCTTGAAAGCACAGCAGTGGTCACCAAGCCAGGTTCAATCACACAATCAATTACTTCCTGCAGCAATGTGCCAAATGGACTATCTCCACATGCCCAGTGATGGTTTACCCTTTCGTATGTATGTCCAACCCATGTCTGTAACCACTTCAGGTCCTAAATGCTTTTACAATAATGATCCTTGCTTCCTTTGTCAACATTTACTCTTCTAGAGGAGTCTATATTTCTTAATATGGGGGTGAATTTTCAAGAAGTAAGTGCTTACTATTTCCTCATATTTTGCATATAGGGAGAAATTGGTAAAGAAATGTATATCATCAAACAAGGAGAAGTCCAAGTTCTTGGAGGTCCTGATGGTGCCCAAGTCCTAGTTACTCTGAAAGCTGGGGCAGTGTTTGGAGAAATCAGGTATTGGAAGAATGCCTCATAAATAACAAAGTCTATCACTTGTCATAAATAAACAATCTCAGGTTATAAAATAAGTAAGTTCCTACTCAGCTTCATCAAAGGTTTAATTGTGCTGAATACTGGTAAAATCAGTACGTTCACATTTCTGTTGGATCTTTTCCTTTTCCCTTCTTCAAATGACCTGAAGAAAGACATCATGTCATTCAGCTCTTTTATTCCCAGGATGCAGGTTTGTGTCCAGCATAATTTTGATATTTAATATGTGTTGAATGGATATAACAGTGAATGAATGAAATGAAAGACTGTAAGGCTGAAAGACTTGAATGCCAAGCTAACAAGGGGGCTTTGAGTAGGTTTCAGACATATGATAACTGCTGTGGGATGAAATTACCTGAGTCTAAATCTCAGTTCACCACTTCCAAATTTTGTTCCTCTGTTACTTTATCATTCTAGTGCTTCATCCTAATTATAATAATAACTTTGTATATTTGAAAGGTAGAATGGTGGTTTTGGTGGAGTGTCAATTTCACTGGCTTTGGATTTTGTGGAGCACATTTCTGGTATGACTGGATGGGTCAGAAGAGCATGGCCTTGGGCTTTGTGTCTGGTTTGTTGCCTCCTCCTCTCTGTCACTGTTTTCTTGTTCTTCTTCCTGGCTACTATGAATTGAGCACATTAGCTATACCAGACGCTTCAACATGGTGTTTCTGTCTTGAAGTCAGTTGACCATGTGATAAATAGCCCGGCCAAGAGCCAAATTAAATGTATTGTCTTCTAAGTTGTAGGTGTTGGGCATTGTGTCCCAGCAATTAGAAAGCTAAGACAGAAAGCTGGTACCAGAGAAGTGGGTTCATCGGGGTTATGACTGTACCTAGCCATGTTGTTTAGAAATCTTTGAATTAAGTTTGTGGAAGAAGTTTGGAAAGGTGGGGAGACACAGGCTACAGAAGCCCTAGAATTCAGTAAACATGTCTTGACAAGTGATTCTGGTTAGAGCTCAGAACCAAATGTTGATAGTATTGTAGTCAGGTCAAACTGAGGAGATTTCACTTGAGAACAAGTACTCCATAGGCAGGTGGATCAGAGGCAGAAAATGTGTCTATATTTTGCCCATGCCCTAAGGCCTTGCAGGAGACTTACATTAAAAGGAGGGGACTAATAAATCTGGCAGAGGAAATTTTAAGGCAGCCCAACATTCATGCTGTTGTATGGTTACTGATGTCTGATTTTAGCCAGATTTATAGTAAGAACTGGAGAGTCTGGGAATCAGCTTTATGTGTGAGCCACCATCAGACTAGGAAGAGCCAGTCTGGTTTTTTTGCCTCCTTCAGAGACTAAGTGCTCTAAACCATCAATTCTTGCTTCTTCTTCTTCTTTTTTTTAAACTGGGAATAAGACTCAGGACCTCATGCTTGCTAGGTAGGCACTATACACTGAGCTATATGGCCAGCCATCCAACCCTCTTCCCATGAGTCAGCACCATTCACAGACTGGAGGAAGAGAGAACAAGGCTGCATCAGGAAATAAGAACTGGGGGCAAATGGTAGAGCAGAAAATTTTGAAAAACTTAAATTTTAGACTTGAAATAATCACATGTAAAGTTTTGACCAAAAGAGGTGTGAGTGCAGAAGAGATTAATACCGTTAAAAAGAAACCAATTGCTTTATACTGAAATAAGAATAAAGCCATCCTCTTATATAGGTAAACAGAGGCAGCTTGAGACCATACTTACAAGTGAAATAAATCAAACTCACATTTATAAATATTACATTGTCTCTGTATTATAAAAATAATAAGAAATAAAAATCCAAAAGAGTAATAAGATCCAAAATATACAATAGATATTGTAATAATGAAAAGGAAAGAAAATGCTCAAAAGGACAGAATTCTGGGATAGGGGAAACTAAAAAACAGAAAGAAAGGAAAAGATTATATGTATGTTGGTAAACATATATAAATGTATGTACGTATATGTACACTAGACAAATAACTGTACTACTAATCTGTTGGTTCATCAAAAAAAAAAAAACAGCCATTTGTTGCCATTGTTGACTGACCACTTTTGTGTCTAGATTTTGTAACCTGAGCAACTAGTTCTGAGATAACAATATGCAATATATCAACTAGTGTTCCCTGCTTTTTTCTCTTTTCTTAAATTCTGTACCACTCCTCACTTTTTTTTCTGTTTTGCTTTAAAAAAAAAAAAAACAGTGAAAGCACATGAATTTTAGCATCTATGTGTGCCATGATTGTTCCAGTTCTTATTTTACCCTTTATATGTGTTTTCTTGCCTCCTTCACAGACTAAGTGCTCTAAACCATCAATTCTTGCTTTTTTTTAAAAACTGGGAATCAAACTCAGGACTTCATGTTCACGAGGCAGGCATTGTGCCACTGAGCTATATGCCCAGCCCACAGTACTTGCTTCTTGGGTTATCTCTGACAAGTCATTCAATGTCTTTGAATCTATTTCTTAACTGTAAACAAAAATTATCCTTTGACTTTAGGAGCCTGTTGCAAAATTTATATTAAATAATGCATATGAAGTGAAAAAGTTATAGTAAGTACATAAATCAATAACATAATCATTTATTGACATTGTCAAGTATTACAGCCTATATGTAATTGTATGTGCTATTCCTTTGTACCTAATTGGCAGCTGGCAGTGCAGTAGGCTTGTTTATTCTGGCATTGTCACAAACATGTGAGAATGCATTGTCCCCATGCCTAGGGGGACTATGATGTCACCAGGCAACAAGAATTTTTTTTAACTCCACTGTCATTGGACCAGTATTGGATATGTGGCCCATCACTAATGAAAACAGGTGGTGGTATATGAATGACTGTATCACTATTCCATAATGTCCAAAAAATGGTCAGTTATTTCCATTTTTTATTGTTTATTTATGTATTGAGACTGAGCCTGGCTATGTTGTCCAGGCTGGCATTGAACTCCTGGACCCAAGTGTCCCCTGAGTGGCTGTCCCCAGAGTGGCTGGGACTGCAGTTACATGCCACCCCGTCTGGCACTATTTCAAGTTTTTACTTGTAGGTTTATAATGGTTGATGAACCTAAAAAGTCTTTGTTGTTGTTATTGTTGTTGTTGTTGTTGTTCTTATTTGATGAATACAAAATAAAAGCATTCAAATTCCAAAAGCAAAAAATAAAAATAAAACCACCCTGAGGCATCTCAAAGATTAACAAGACCCCACCCACTAGTGGCTCAAGAATGCAAAAACTGAGAAGAGAATTTCTGAACCTCTTGCTCATAAAGGACCTCCTGAGGAACTGGATTCTTAAAGATTCATTTCACTGTGTTCAGTCTTCCAGACATTTAGAGGTTGCAGCAGCCATGGTTCAAGGGGACAGGACTACTGCTCCCACTTACAGAACACTTTGGCATCATCTGCATGATATTTGTTTTATAAGTATGTGGAATGCAGTGGTTGTTGGGTTGGGGAAATTTCCTCCCAGAGTTCAAAGAAAGATCTGAGAGATAAGACAAAAGCCCCTAAGAGAGCAGAACATGAAGCTGTGGGAATGAAGCCAAAGATACAGGTGAAACGCAAAAAGCCGGAGATGCCAGGAACATGGAATGTCTACATGAGAAAGCTACAACCTGAGGGTAGAATTAGCTCAAGTAAGGCTTTGTAAGCTGCAACCAGCAACACCAGAGAATTGGGTTGCACATACCCTCTGAAATTCACATTTTATTATTGTATGCCCTGAATGTCACATATGGGGCTGCAGGACTCAATATTTGCCCCTCTGGGTTTCAGTCTTGCTTTGGTCTGATACTTTTCTATCCTACCACTCACTTTTGGAATGGGAATGTTTACCCTGGGGCATGGTACCTTGGGATTATGTAACTTGTTCCTGATTCTTAAGAAGTTCACAGCTAAGAGTTTGCCTTAAGTCTCAGAAGAGACTTTGAGTTTGATTTTTGAGAAATGCCAGAACTCTTGAGACTTTAAGGTATGCTAGATTAATTAATGGTCAACTTGTAATACCCAAATGAAATGAATTAGCATGGTTCTGGGTGTAGAAGGCCCACCCGAGTATTGTTGCCAATGGCATAAAAAAGAGAGCTAGAGGTGAAGATTGTGTGCTGTTGATTCTCTGGAGAAGCTTGTCACACTTGACCTTTCTGGTATGAAGTCAGCTGTTACTTTTGGAGGTGCTTGGATCCTCGCCACCACTGAGGATAGCTGCTGTTGTCTCGGGAGGAGCTCTTGTCCTTACTTTTTGTGTCATTTCCTAGCTCCAGTGAAGATCCCTCAGCCTGCTAGCACAGATCCTTCACCCAGCTGGCACAGACTTTCTAGCTCCCACTACTGACTTTCAGGGCTTCCCAGGGAAGATCCTTGATACAGACTTGCATGAAACATTGTTATGGATACTAGGTTTCCAGTTGGACTGCTGGAGGTAGAAGACATTACCATGAGTTCTAGGTCTTCAGCTGGAGTCATGCAACACATTGCTGTGCGATCCAGGCCTTCAAATAATTCTATAAATTGTGTATCCTGTATTAAATCTTTTCCCTTGTAAGCCCTTATTACAACAGGTAGCAATAGACAAAGGGTAGATGTGGTAGTTAAGACACAGTGACAACACAACTGGCTATGAGATCCACCCAGAGGACTGATGGAAGACATTTCTTGGGTGTCTCTGTATGAGTCACTGAGGATGGGTTTGGTTGTATGTCTGGTCTCTTGCCCTTCCCTCTCTGGCACTGTTCCCTTATTCTGATTCCCTGCTCTAAGCTGAGAATATTTGCTCTGCAATGTCCTTCTGTTTTGACACTTCTGCCTGGGAGCCAGCTAATCATGGACTGCATATCTCTAAACTGTGAGTTAAATTAAACCTCCCCTCCTTTAAGTTATAGGTGTTTGGTACTATATTTTCATGGTGGGAAAGCTGACCAATACAATTGGTTAATGAATTAACTCACCAAAAGCACTTAGACTAATGTCAAACATCTCTCCAAGCTCAAACATAGC